TCCTCCTCCTCCTCCTCCTCCTCCTCCTCCTCCTCCTCCTCCTCCTCCTCCTACTCCTCCTCCTCCTTGTACCTCGGGGCACAGGGACATCAGGAGCCGCGAGGTCTGGCGAGCCCCCCCGCGCGCGCCTTGAGCTGGTCGGCGCCGCCCTGCCCCGCGCCTAGCCTGTGCGGCAGCTTGCGCAGCACGGCGTTCACGAACGCCTTCGGGAGGGAGCCGACTGCTTACGCAACCGCACCGACCCTGGCCTTGCCCGTCCTGGGCCCAGGATCTGTGCATACGCCCTCCTGGTTTCGGCAGGAGGCAATAGTGCGCCGCTTCTGGGCCCAAAGGGGGCCTGGCCAGGACCGACCGCGGGTGGTGCAACCGGCGCCCTCCGAGCCTTGGACACGTGCGGAAAATTGAAGGGGAAAGCCAGCTTGCCCGACTCCTGCGAGGATCGCACGCGAGGGAGGCGGTGGGCCAGACGGGGGTCAAGGGAATGAGCGAGGAGGGTGAGAGCGAGGAAGAACAGGGCGGATGAGGATGGTGAAGAGAAAGCAGCGGCAGAAGGGATGCGGGCGGGACGGAAAGGGAAATATGAATGAAGAGAGAAGGGATGAGAGATGAAGGAGGGAGGGATGGAGGAGGAGCCGACAAGGTAGTGGAGCCAGGGGAAGAGAGATACAGAGAGAGAGAGAGGAAAAAAAAAGAGAGAAAGAATTAGCCTGGCGAAAGACCCAACCATATGCAGTTGTGGGTATCGCATTCGGGGAAGCCCCCTATGGGGCCACGAAACGCTGTACTGGGTGGGGGGGGACGCATGCGAACTGCGCTACTGGGACCTTCGGTGGAGCTCTCTATGGGGCCACGAAACGCTGTACTGGGTGTGGGGAGGACGCATGCGAACTGCGCCACTGGGACCTTCGGTGGAGCTCCCTATGGGGCCACGAAACGCAGTACTGGACGCATGCGAACTGCGCCACTGGGACCTTCGGGGGAGCTACCTATGGGGCCACGAAACGCTGCCCTGGTGTGGGGGGGAGGGGGGGCGCATGCGAACTGCGCGACTGGGGCCTTAGGTGGAGCTCCCTATGGGGCCACGAAACGCTGCCCTGGGTGGGGGAACCGCATGCGGGCTGTGCCACTGGGACCTTCGGTGGAGCTCCCTATGGGGCCACGAACGCTGCCTGGGTGGGGGAACCGCATGCGGGCTGTGCCACTGTGACCTTCGGTGGAGCTCCCTATGGGGCCACGAAACGCTGCCCTGGGTGGGGGAACCGCATGCGGGCTGTGCCACTGGGACCTTCGGTGGAGCTCCCTATGGGGCCACGAAGCGCTGCCCTGGGTGGGGGAACCGCATGCGGGCTGTGCCACTGGGACCTTCGGTGGAGCTCCCTATGGGGCTACGAAACGCTGCCCTGGGTGGGGGAACCGCATGCGGGCTGTGCCACTGTGACCTTCGGTGGAGCTCCCTATGGGGCTACGAAACGCTGCCCTGGGGGGGGGAACCGCATGCGGGCTGTGCCACTGGGACCTTCGGTGGATGGCTCCCTATGGGGCTCCCTATGGGGACGAACGCTGCCCTGGGTGGGGAACCGCATGCGGGCTGTGCCACTGGGACCTTCGGTGGAGCTCCCTATGGGGCTACGAAACGCTGCCCTGGGTGGGGGGAACCGCATGCGGGCTGTGCCACTGGGACCTTCGGTGGAGCTCCCTATGGGGCTACGAAACGCTGCCCTGAGTGGGGGAACCGCATGCGGGCTGTGCCACTGGGACCTTTGGTGGAGCTCCCTATGGGGCTACGAAGCGCTGCCCTGGGTAGAGGAACCGCATGCGGGCTGTGCCACTGGGACCTTCGGTGGAGCTCCCTATGGGGCTACGAAACGTGAGGGGTGTGCCGAGAGCAGAGGCAAGGAGGGGGAGGAGGGAGGAGGGCGAGGAGGGGGAGGAGGAGGAGAGGAGGTGGGACGCAGGGCGCTGTCTCTTCAAAACGAGGACCCAACACCACAGGATGGTTTGGAAAAAGCTTCAGAAGGACTCCAAGAGGACCAGCGGACACAAGAAGACGACTTTCGGCCTGCTGGGCTCCTGGCTGCGCCTGATGGCAAGCAGCCGCCCACGGGGTTCCGTGATGCCCTCGTCCTCGAAGGGCGTCTGCCCAGACAGGAGCTCGAAAGTCAGCACGCCGACGGCCCACCAGTCCACGGACTGGTCGTGGGTGTGGGGAAAATCGATCATCTCTGGGGCCATGTACTCGGGGGTGCCCGCCAGCGTGCTGGTCTTACCCAGCACGAAACGCGCGAAGCCCATGTCGCACAGCTTTGCGTAACCTGGTCACGTCAGACCACGTTAGGGGGCGGGACCAGCTTATGGACGGAACGATCAACCTGGAATCGGCGAGATATCGCCGATAGATCGGCGACAGGCCCCCGACAGCGAACCCGCAAAGTCCTGGGCAATGGTGGGCTATCGGGCCTACGTCGGTGATCAATGGGCGATGCGCCCCTCCCTGCACCTCTCCCCCCCGAGCGTTGCCCCTTGAGAGGAAGAACGGGTTACACTAGAAGCCCAATCCGCACGAAACCTCCCACCAAAAAACTCAACCGTGAGACCCCAGGGCGTCCCTTGGCGTGGGAGCGTCACCTTCCCCGCAGCACAAGCATCGAAACACAAGCAGCCCAGAGCACCCTGGAGGCAAGCAGGGTGCTTCTTGGCATGGGTCTCCACTGTAGTGCGACGACGAGCCAGGCCTACCAGGGCCACGCCGCGAGCCCATGCCGGCCACGAAGGAGCTACCAAGCCCGGGCCAGGGGAGGGAGGGGCAACGGGGACAATCCAGGTGGCTCCCAAACCCGGGTCGACCAGAGGATTTCGGAACGCGGCCGGGCTGAGCCCCGCTAGCGCTGACCCCTCGAGACGTGAGCCCCGGCCACGGATAGCGTATACAAAACGATCGGCACAAAACGAGTTGATGGAATAACTTAACTTACCTCGCGCGATCCCGAAGAGGGGAAAACTTCTGACTGCAAAGGCGCAGTGTTTGGCATTGCTTGGCATTACTTGGTATTGCTTGGCATGCTTTGGCATTGTTTGGCATTGCTTGGCGTTGCTTGGCATAAGTTGGCGTTGCTTGGCGTTGCTTGGGAACCCGAGGAACCTCCAGGCAGCGGGCCACGTAGCATTAGAAAACATCAGCCTTTAAGAATACGCCCGAGTAGCCCGAGGAACTCGAGGAATCCGAGGAATCCGGGGAACCCGAAGAACACGAGGAACCCGAGAAACCCGACGAACCCAAGGAATATGGGGAATCCTAGGAACCTCCGGGCAACAGGCCACGTAAGAATAGGAGGCACCGGGGGCGGGGAGCCCGAGAAACCTGAGGAATATCCCTGGAACGGGCTACGTGCCCCCTCGAAGCACCGCTCTTCTTAACCAACTAAGAACCCCTTATTTGGAAAGCCTCAGTGGGAAACAAATGCTGCTCCCCGCGCTGTAGTGCACATGTAGAGAACATATGAGATGTGGAAACCCGGACCGCCAAGGACGTCCCCACGACCGCCCTGGCTCTCCGCGTTCAGGGGCAGATTCGTGCGCACCCCCTCTTGGCGTCAGGCCATGCCTGCCACGCCCTGCGACCTTGGGGTGGATAGAGACTGCGCTCAGGGACCACCCCCTGCGCTCACTTCCTGCATCGCAAAAGTGCTACACCTAACGCGCCCTGCGACCTGGAGTGGATCGAGACCGCCCTCAGGGACCACTCCATGCGCACCCTCACGTGTGCCAGCCTTGCCCTGCGGCAGAGCAAAGCTGAGAACAACCAATCGTTTCACCTGCATTCTGGGCCTCAACATGAGTTCGTCCATTCGTGCTCCACTCGCTCCCCTCGTGTAGCGCGCACCGCACATGTGACCAACCGGCAGATGGGTCAACCGAAAACTGATTGCGAAAAACAAGGTTTTGCACTTGCGTTGTGGGCCTCAACACGTCTTGGTGCATTCGTAATCCACACGCTTCCCAAGTGCAGCGCGCAACGCCCAAATTACCCCCCAGCGAGGGGGTCACCCGAAAACTGGCTCAGGAGACCCACTGTGCCATTCGCCTTCCGAGCCTGAGCATGAATTGGTGCACTCGTGTGTCCACACGCTCCTCCTGCGCGCACCGCACAGGTGACCCACCAGCATTCGTGCTCCACGCGCTTCCCCTGTGTACCGCGTGCCGCACGAGTGTGAAGGGGCCCTGGGACACACAAATAAATACACACAAATAAAAAGATGCCCCATGTTTTCCCATATGTTCTGGGGTTTTTGTCTTCCCCGCCACTTCCCATATGTTCCCACATTTTCTGGGAAACCGACGATGAATTGTGTCTGTGTGTTTCTTCCCCTCCTGAGAGTGGCCCACAGGCGGGTGGGTCACCCGAAAAACTGGCCCGGAGAGAAAGGAGGCTGGACCTCGATAGGAGTTGGTGCACATGCGTGCTCCACGCGCTCCCCTTGGGCAGCGCGGGCCGCACTGCCGACCCACCCGCGGGTGAGTCGGCCGAGAACTGGCCCGGGGAACATTACCCTGTGACGTACCCAACCCGAGGAGTTGGCAAGTATGGGAAGTAGGCAAGTGGGGGAAGACAGAAACCCGGCAAGTATGGGAAACTAGGGGAAAATATGGGAAACTATGGGCCCCAGGGCCATTTCGTGTGCGCAGGGCCCCATCGTCTGGCAAATATGGCAAATATGGAGGACAATATGGCAAATATGGCAAACTATATCGCAATATGGGAAACGAGGAGTTGGCCGAAACTTGCATGGGCAATCGAATTGCAGGATCCGTTGTTTGATATGTAAGCTACTTGGGGCACGCGCCTATGGCATGCTGCGCAGGAGAACCATACAGGAACGAGGGGCGACAACTACAGGCTCGGAGAGGACATGGGGAGTCGGGAACGAAGAGCAGGAAAAAGACGTGCGGGAAGCCCACTGTGCTGGGCCCCCCAGCAGGCCTCGAAAGTGGCGACAGTTTCACAGATCGCAGCCCCCCAGGGATGGCGAGGTCTGACTTTGAATCCGCGGTGACTACCCACTGTGCTGGGCCCCCCAGCAGGCCTCGAAAGTGGCGACAATTTCACAGATCGCAGCCGCCCAGGGATGGCGAGGTCTAACTTGAGTCTGCGGTGGGTACCCACTGTGCTGAGCCCCCCAGCAGGCCTCGAAAGTGGCGACAATTTCACAGATCGCAGCCCCCCAGGGATGGCGAGGTCCCATTTGAATCCGCGGTGACTACCCACTGTGCTGGGCCCCCCAGCAGGCCTCGAAAGTGGCGACAGTTTCACAGATCGCAGCCCCCCAGGGATGGCGAGGTCTAATTTGAGTCCGCGGTGGGTACCCACTGTGCTGGGCCCCCCAGCAGGCCTCGAAAGTGGCGACAGTTTCACAGATCGCAGCCCCCCAGGGATGGCGAGGTCTAATTTGAGTCCGCGGTGGTACCCACTGTGCTGGGCCCCCCAGCAGGCCTCGAAAGTGGCGACAGTTTCACAGATCGCAGCCCCCCAGGGATGGCGAGGTCTAATTTGTCCGCGTGGGTACCCACTGTGCTGGGCCCCCCAGCAGGCCTCGAAAGTGGCGACAGTTTCACAGATCGCAGCCCCCCAGGGATGGCGAGGTCCCATTTGAATCCGCCGTGGTACCCACTGTGCTGGGTCCCCCAGCAGGCCTCGAAAGTGGCGACAATTTCACAGATCGCAGCCCCCCAGGGATGGCGAGGTCCCATTTGAATCCGCGGTGGGTACCCACTGTGCTGGGCCCCCCAGCAGGCCTCGAAAGTGGCGACTGTTTCACAGATCGCAGCCCAACAGGATGGCGAGGTCAAATTTGAATCCGCCGTGGGTACCCACTGTGCTGGGCCCCCCAGCAGGCCTCGAAAGTGGCGACAGTTTCACAGATCGCAGCCCCCCAGGGATGGCGAGGTCCCATTTGAATCCGCGGTGGGTACCCACTGTGCTGGGCCCCCCAGCAGGCCTCGAAAGTAACGACAGTTTCACAGATCGCAGCCCCCCAGGGATGGCGAGGTCAAATTTGAATCCGCCGTGGGTACCCACTGTGCTGGGCCCCCCAGCAGGCCTCGAAAGTGGCGACAGTTTCACAGATCGCAGCCCCCCAGCTGGCACGCAGCGACGAGCGAAGGCAGGGGGTAAAAGAGAGGGACGGGGGGGGGGGGAAGGTTCGCGCGAGCAATGCTCTATTCAAAACGAGAACCCAACGCAGGAGGGTTGGGAAAAACAGATGGTAACACTTGCGTTCTGGGCCTCAAGATTACTCCGGATTCCATAACTAAGTGGGGGGGGTCACATTCGGGGGGGTCTAATTTGAGCTGTCTTGGAGGGTTCCGGGGGGTCTGGGCAAAGGGCCGCCCTTTGATGGATAGTCTGGGGGGTCTAAAACTTCTCGTCTGGGAGGGTTGTGACCCCCTCCCTTTTATTACGAAATCTGGAGTACGTGGTGCACTCATGCTCCACACGTTTCCTCTGTGCACCGCGCGACGCACAGGTGACCCACCACCGGGTGGGCCGCCCGAAAGCACATCGTGCCACCTGCATTCTGGGCCTCAACAGCTGGTGCACTCGTGTTCCACATGTTTCCCCTTCACGGAGCGCGCGCAGCAGAGGAGACCGGTGACCTACCAGCAGGTGGGTCACCGGAAAACAGGTGGAGAAACATCAGCTGTTTCACGCGCGTCCTGGGCCTCGACACGGCTGGGTGCATTCGTACTCCACACGTTTACCTCGTGCAGCGCGCGCCGCACACGTGGCCCACCAGCTGATGGGTCGCACGAGAACTGGTTGAGAAAATCGAATTGCTTCACCTGCATTCTGGGCCTGCACACGGGTTGGTGCAGTCGTACTCCACACGCTCCCCTTGTGTAGCGCGCACCGCAGGTCACCCACCAGCAGGTAGGTCAGCCGAAAGCAGGCCCCGGAGAGAAAAGGGACAGATTGCTGCACTGGCTTTCTAGGACTCTTTACGAGATGTTGCAGTCGTAGTCCACACGCTTCACCTGTGCAGCGAGCGCCGCACAGCTGACGCACCAGCGGGTGGGTCAACCGAAAACTGATTGATAACAATTAGTTTCACTTGCATTATGGGTCTCAACGTGAATTGGTGCATTCGTATTCCAAACGCTTCTCCTGTGTAGCGCGCACAGGACAGGTGACACACCAGCAAGTGGCTCACCCGAGACATGGTTCAGAAAACAATTGTTTCACGTGGTGCCTGAATATGAATTGGTGAATTCATATTCCTGACAATTCCCGTGTAGCGCGCACCGCACAAGTGACCCACCAGCGGGTGCAATACCCGAGAACCGGTGATGCAGTTTGGGCCTCGCCATGAGTTGGTGCACTCGTGTTCCACGCGCTTCCCCTGTGTTGACTAATTACCGCACATGTGTCACGAATTGTGTCACTGGCGTTTGGGGCCCCGACATGGTTTTCGCTTTCCACACTGTGAGGCGCGCGCCGTTCAGGTGAACTGCCAGCGGATGGGTCACCAGAGAACAGGTTGAGAAAAACAACATGGTTCACTAATGTTTGAAGGGGCCCCAGGACACACAAATAAATACACACAAATAAAAAGATTCCCTATATTTTCCCATATTTTCTGGGTTTCTGTCTTCCCCACCAATTCCCATATTTTCCCATATTTTCTGGAGAATGGAGGATTCATTGTGTCTGTGTGTTTCTTTCCCTCCTGAATGAGTTGGTACGTTCAGGCTCCACACGCTCTCCATGTGCAGCGCGCAGCACAGGTGACCCACCAGCGGGTGGGTCACCCCGACACTGGTTGAGACAACCCAGCCGTTTCACTTGAATTCTGGACGCTCGCCCTGTAAAACGCGCGCCGCACAGGTGACCCACCAGCGGGCGGTTCACCCCAAGACTGGCGGAAGGAAACCCAGTGTGCCACTGGCATTCTGGGCAATAATAATGTGCATGGGTGCATTCGTAGTGTACACGCTTCCCTCTTGCGGCGCGCACCGCGCAAGGGACCCGGAGGCGAGTGAATCACCCGGCATTTGTCTACCTGAGGTCTGGGCCTCGCCATGCCCTGGTGCACTCCTACTCCGCACGCTGGCCCCCGTCCAGCACGCACCGCACGGGTGTCCCGCCAGCGGGCGGCTCGCCCGAAGAATGGTTCATATAATCGAACGGATTATGTTGCTGCCTTGGCCTCGACATGAGCTGCTGCATTCGTGCTCCACGCGCTTCCTCTGAGTAGCGTGGGTTACCCGAAAACAAGTGGGGAAGCACAGTCGTCTCACTTGCATTCTGAGACTCAACATGAGGCGGCGCGCTCCTACTCCACTCGCTTCTGCTGTGTAGCGCGCGCTGCACAAGTGACCCGCTGGCAGGTGGTTTACCCGAGAGCTGGTTAGCAACAACTACCTGTTTCACTTGCACCCTGTGCGTGTACTTGAGTTGGTGCACTCGTGATCCACACGCTCCCCATGTGTAACGCGCACCGCACAAGTGACCCACCGGCGGGTGCGTTACCCGAGAACCGGCTGAGGAGAACCTGCTGTTTCAGTCGCACTCTGGGCCTCAAAATGGGTTGGTGCATTCATGCTCCACACGCTTCCCGCACGGCAAAAATGACCCACCGGTGGGTGGACCACCCGGGCTTCGGTTAAAAAACGCAAATTATTTCACTGGGATTCTGGGCCTCAACATTGATTTGTACACTCCTGCTCCGCACGGTTCCCCTGGGCAGCGCGCACCGCACAGGTGACCAGCCAGCGGGTGAATCACCTGAGAACTACTTGAGAAAACCTGGCCGCTTCATCTGCATTCTGGGCCTCAACATTACATGGTGCATTCGTGCTCCACACATGTCCACCCTGTATAGCGCACCGCACAAGTGACCCACCAGCGGGTGGGTCACCCGAAATATGGTTAAGGAGAACCCAGAGTCTCACGTAAACTATGTGCATCAATACTAAACTGGTGCACTCGTAGGCCACACGGTTCCCCTATGTAGCGCGCACCGCACAGGTGACCCACAAACGGGTGAGTCACCCAAAAATTGGTTGAGAACAGCCCATTGTTTCATCGGCATTTCGGGCCTCAACATGCATTGGTGCACTCGTACTCCACACGCTTCTCCCCTGTAGCGCGCACCGCAAAAGTGACCCACCAGCGGGAGGGACACCGGCAAACTGGTTGAGGAAAACCAATTGTGGCACTGGCATTCTGGCCAACAACATGAGTTGGTGCATTCGGCGTGCTCCACACGCTTCCCTTTTGGTAGCGCGCACCGCACATGTGACCAACCAGCAGGTGAGTCACCCAGGAAACTGGTTGAGAAAAAACCAACTGTTTCACTGGCATCCTGGGGAATTTGCGCAGTTGTTCTCCACACGCTTCCTTTGTGTAGCGCGCACCGCATGGTGTATCATCAAAAAAACTGGCGGAGGTAAAGCAATGATTCCACTTGCATTCGGTCCTGGCCCACTGCGCATGGAAAACATACACGCTGACGCGGAAGCCAAACGTTTGACGCGTGACCCAGCATCGAGAAACGCGCGAGAGCGAGTCGCGCGAGGTGATGCCGGGCCCATCTGGCACGGAGAACTCCCGAGCGCGAAGACAGGACACCACGCGCACTCTCGCGCACGCAAATACGGTGTCCCAGTAAGGCGACAAGTCCTGACTCGTCGACCGAAGCCGCCTATGCATCGGCGCACGCGTAAAATCGAGACGCGCTTACCAGCACATGTGAGTGCATATGTATGTATGTGAGTATCTGTACATAGATACACAGATGCACACATACAAACACATAGCAGCGTTCCTTGTCCAGCAGATATGCTCCAGGGGGGCCGTGAAACACATAGTTGTTCGTCGGCGACTGGATGCCACGCGGGATCTTGGGCGGGGGTCAGTGGGGAGGCACGTTTTTTGAACAAATTATGGACATTACAATGCGGGCGCGGCCGCAAGAAACCCTCGCAAGAAACCCAACCCTGAGAACCCGTGCGCGAGGTGCACCTGAGGGGAAACCCGGAGCACCCTGAACGCAGAAACTCCTTCAACGGCTGCGGGAAGTCAACGCGCAGCGAGAGGAGCGAAGAAACCCAAGATACCCTGACGAAAAGTAGATGGTTTCTTGATGTGCGCCCCCGCCGTACTCATTATCCCTCCCGGGATAGCCATTCTCGTCAAGCAGCACGTTCTCCGTCTTGACGTCGCGGTGCGCGATGGATCGCGTGTGTAGGTGCTCCAGGGCCAAGACCAGGCAGCCGACGTAGAAGGCCGCCGCGGAGCCCCTCGGGCGGTCCTGCGGCAAGCTTGCATCATAAGCAGCTGCATATGCGCGTGCATGAGTGTAAGTATGTATGCGTCTTCAAAAGCGCATGCATGTATAGACATAGGTATACACAAAGTAGCTCTACATATAGTTGTGCATGCTTGCGTTGGCGTGTGAGATGTCTGTGTGCCAGTGTGGACCCCGAACCGCGTGACATGGTTGCGGCCTCGTGTGTAAGTCATGAGGTGCACGCTGGGTGGCCCAAGCTATGTGGTGCAATCCACGACTTGAGCAAGAGAATTGAGCGACAGGTGGTGTAAGCCATGCGGTGCAAACTGTGCGTGCTGCTACTTAGCCCTGTGGCGCATGCTGTGTGGTGTCAGCTGTGTGGGGAAGCTCCGTGGTGCAAGCTGCGCGGTAGAAGGATCTGAGATGCAGCAGGGCGGTGCAAGCTAGATGATGCATGCAGGCGTATTTGGACACCCGAGATGGGTACCGAAAGAGTGGGTACAATGCCCAAAACCAACAAATGTTCTCCCAAACCAACAGCGGCCGCTGCTGGGCAGGCGGCCTTCTGTCTCGAATGGACACAGGCCGCGGCGGCGTGGACAGCGAGTCCTGTTCAAAACGAACAGGATCCGCTGTTGGGCATTGTACCCATTCTTTCCGTACCCATGTCGGGCGCCCAGAGCGTAATCGGGGAGACGTAAGTCTCGGGTACGGGGGACTCGGGTAGGCCTGACGGGGCCACCATAAAAATGACGAGACCCGATCCGAAATCTGACGCGAGCTCCCGCTGCAGGCCTCCCACGAAAACCTGAACCGTCAAAATCCAGGACGCGCTCGTCAAAAAACGTCGGCAAACCCGAGTTCCGGCGCACACCCTGCGAAATGCTTAAGAAATCATGGGTTAAGAAATTCATAGTCTCAGAACTTGACTAAAAACCCAACATTTCTATTCAAATCTTAGGAATTACATTGAAACATTAAGAATAATCGAAGCTCTGGCCGAAAACTTGAGTTTTCTTAAGCATCGCCTAAGGTGTACTCGAGCCTGACGCTTCCCCGAAAGCAGCGCGAGGCGCCCGCGCGGCATCCGCCGGGCGAGACCGCGACGCACCACGCCGGCGCACGGGGCGCCCACCTGGCGCCCACGGCCGACCGCCCGGGCGACATCTCGGCACGCCCTCCCCGCCAGCGCACGGGGCGCCGATGGGCGCCCAGGAGGCGCCCGTCGGCCGCCTGGCTCGGGCCAAGCCCCGCACCCATCCGGCCCCTTGGGGCAGCAAGGGTGCTCCAGAGTTCGTAACAAAAGGGAGGGGGTCTGGACCCTCCGAGACGAGCCACTTCGGACCGCCCCCGCGGGAGAACCCTCCAAAACATCGCCCCCAGACCCCCCAGGCCCTCCAAGATAGCTTGGAAGAGACCCCCCCCCCCGAAAGAGACCCCCCTCCCGTTATTACGAAATCTGGGGTAGGAACCCCACGGGCTGATCCCAGGCATCCGACGTCTCGAGTCCAACCAGCCCTTGGGGGCGTCAGTGATGCCAGGCGTTTCTTCGGCCGACCCCCTTCTTCCCCTCCGGGTGAGGCTTGGGCCCTGCGTCTCCCCCCTCCCCCCCGGGTTCGGAGGGGGGGTCCGCGGATCGTCGACGTCCACAACGGCCTCGGCGAGAAGGCAAACATCATGAATTCTACAAAAAAGGTGTTGGCCACATGCTGGCCTCCTGGGGGTGGGTGGGGGGCTAATTTACTACGGCCACTCCTTTGATCGATCTCGTCCAGAATGGCCTCCAAGGCATTCAAGGGTGCCCCAAGAGAGGTGCCCAGGAGGCCCCAAGAGGCCCCACAGAGACCCCCGAGATGCCCCCGAGATGCCCCCGAGATGCCCCCCAAGAGGCCCCAAAAGGCCCCCCCGATGCACCCAAGATCTTCCAAAGGCTCCTGGCAAGAGACCCCCAAGACGCCGCAAAAGGACTCCAAGAAACTTCCGAAGAGATTCCGGGAGGCATCCAAGAAGCCTCCGGCCTTTCTGCTCGCCCTCCTCCTCCTCCTCCTCCTTTTCATCCTCCTCCTCCCCCTCTTCCTCCTCCTCCTCCTCCTCCTCCTCTTACTCCTCTTCCTCATCTTCCTAATCCGCCTACATCGGCCCAATGAAAGTTCCTGGAATTTTCATCACGACGCTGGCCGGCGGAAGTCGACGGAAGTAAAACGAGGCGGAAGACGGGGGAAGGCCGCCGGAAGGCTTGCCAATGTCAGCGGAAGTAAACGACGCCCCTTCCGAACCCCCTACCCCCGTAGAAGCCTAGCAATGTTGTCTTCCTCCGTGGGCCGGGCGGGATCCCGCCTGGCTTATTCCGCTTTAATATTATAAGTTTAGTTCAGGACGATCAAAATCCCACCCATTGAAAATGGGGTAGACCAAAACCCCGGGCCGTTTACGGATCCCACCATGCTGGGATCGGCTCGAAATAAGATGGGGCTCATAAGTTGCAGTATTATTGCCGTGTTGGGGTCGTCTTGAGGTCATTTTGAGATCATATCCCGGTCATGTTTGGATCACGCAACCATCGCGTGGTCATTATGAGGCCACCCTGGGAGCGCTTGGATCAATCTTGTTGCCATCGGGCCATCTCGGCGTCACGCGTTGCTCATGTGCTTCGTCATCTGCGATTCGGCCTGAGACGGTCCAGAATCCATGGCGGGATCGCGTTGGGGTGGCATCATCCTGGGTCCTCTGGACGTTATCGTCCGTGGCCTGAGGCATTCCTGGAAGCATGTTGTGGCCATGGGACGTCTTGGGATCGCGTGCGTGCGAACGCTGAGCACGCGCGCGCGACTTTTCATCTTGCCGACGGGTTTACATACATATTATTCCTCTTGCGAGTTTCCAAGGAAACTTTTGTTGGAGCCAAGTATTCCTCCTCCCTCCTCCCCCTCCCCCTCCTCCTGCTGCCCCTCCTCCGATTCCTCCTCCATCCTCCCCCTCTTGGGGCACGACGTCTTACCCAACCCTTTCTTCCACTTCATGCCCCTCCACATCCCTGATCAGAGCCACTCGTCTGGGAGCATCGTTTCTGGGTGGGCAGGTGGGGCTGCGCGAAGCGCTGATAATGTATCACTGCAAGGCCCACGGAGGTCTGGATGAAGGGGAACTGGGACACACAAATAAATGGACACAAATAACCACATTCCCCATATTTTCCCATATTTCCTGGGTTTTTGTCTTCCCCCCCACTTCCCATATTTTCCTATATTTTCTGAGAGTCGACGATTAATTGTGTCAGTGTGTTTTTGTCCCTCCTGACTGGACCTTGTCCCCGGGGCGGGCGTTTCGTCCCGAAGCGTCTCTTGACGGTCCCCGGGGGCCTGGGGACCCGGCGGGGTCCCCCCCAGAGCCCGAAAGCTAACAGAAAACCCTGCCGCCGTGATCTTTTTTACCACGACGCGAGCATGTCTGGGCTGGAGTTCGGTCGGGCATGTCCTCCTGCAGGCGGATTCTGGAAGAAGAGTGAGAAATACTCAAGACATTCTCAAACATGATCACACAATTACCAAAACATATCGCACCCTGACTCTGTTCTGACTATTCTTACATATTCCCCTTGCAGGGGGGCCATGCCCGACCTAAGGCTACAGCCCCGAAGTGCAATCTCTCTTGCGCGGCTGTGCTTTGAAGCTTGGAGGCCTTTCCTTTCGTGGTGGTCGGCGTCGGTCGTCTCCCTCCCGCCCCCGCTCTCCCCATGGCCCAGGGATCCATCTGCTCGTGATGGTCGTCGTTCGTCACCCCTCCCCTTGGCCCACGTACCGGCCCCCCTCGCCACCAAGAGCCAGGGCGCCCGTGGCATTTTGCTGGTCTTGCTTTGTTGTCTGCAGGGCGGGTCGTTTATCGGGGGTGACCTACATGGGGGGGGGAAGCAACGAGCCTCAAATGAGCCCTTTAGAACTCCTGATTGTTTTTTGGTGATGGGAAGCACTGATATGATGCTAGTGTATCTCCGTCATCTACGGATCATAGCCCTTTAGCCCTTTAGCCATTTAGAACTCCTTTTGGAGCGAGCAGCGGCCCAAGAGAGCCCCCTTGAGGGCCCTTGACTCCGCCCCCCTCCGGGTCCTCCCCCCCAACTGCCACCCGACCGACAGAGGCGAACAGGCAAAGGGCAAAGCGGCACGGGTGCCCTGGCGCTCAAGCTCCCGGGATCCGGCAGGTTTAAGAGGAGCGAGCCTTCACTCGCGCGCCCCGCGCGCAACGGCGGATCGCCCCTGGGAGCGTCCGCGAAGCCCTGTCTGCCTTGACATCCCTCGCGGTGGTTACCACCCGCCGCCCGATTCTGCGCACGTTGGGCGTGGCTTAATGGGGGGGTCACAAATGGGGGGGTTCAGAAAAGGTCCCCTTTCGTGCCCCTTTCGGGCCCCTCCGGAGCCCCAGGGGGCTCGTTTAGGTACCGTTTGGGTACCTTTTCGGACCACGCTCGCCACCCCCTCATTTATGACCCCCCATTACGCGGCGCCCAAGCACGGTCGTGGACGCACTGACCCGGGTCCATGCAAACCTCGGCCAGTCAGACTTTGCAACATCGTGCAAGATCCCGCAGGATCCTGCAAGGACCTGCGCGCGAGCCCCGGCCAATGCACCCCTGGCTGTGCAGGATCCTGCAAGATCCCCCCGTTTGCATGGACCCCCGTTTCTAGGCTCCCGAGAGGCCTCCTAGATGGGGTCCAGGTAGATGGGATCGGAGGATTGCGCCGCATCGCCGATACATCGCCGATGCATCGGCGATGCATCGTCGACGTCGGCGTGGAGAAAAGCGGGCTCCACATCGAGCCACATCGCCAATGCATCGGCGATGCGCCGAGATCCTCCGACCCCATCTGCTCGGCCCCCATCTGGGAGGCTTAGTCAGATGAAGAACACATGCCATAGATATAAACTTTTGGCGCTCCGCCAAAAGCTCAGGTTGATGGCGGTTTCGCTTCTTCGACATGCGGCGGTGGACAAACCTCCCTTTAGTAAACCTCCCCTTAGTGAAAACGGCCCAGGACCAGAACCGACGGACCTGGAGCCGCCAAAAGTGACGGCCGCGACGCCCTCTCGCGAACCCGAAAACGGCCAATTCCTCAATCGACGTGTCAGGGTCTCGCCATCGCTCGGACGTCCATTCCCTGTACATTTTTCGGTTTCGTGCGTGTTTCTTTTCCCCAGGGTGAGCAAAATGCTCCTCGATGGTCCTCGCCGAGAACAAAATGCACACGTTCGAGCGAAGCCAAGGGCCAGGAGGTCTATCCACCTCCGATTCTCTCTTCGGGGATGGACAGACCCCCCTTTAGTAAAACGTGGTTTAGTGAAAACGACCTGAGGCCCAAACCTGGCGACCGCAAGCCTGGAAAATAACGGCCACGGCGCCCTCTCGAGAACCGAAAACGGACAATTCACGAATCGACGTGTCACTGTTGGGGGTTCTGTCCACCCCCGATCTCTTTCGATGTCGTCGAGGCGGTCCTCCAGGAAGACCTCCGGCCTGTCGGCCACCACGTCCGCGAGGCTCCCCCCGAGCGCGGCCTCCAGCAGGAAGTACACGTGCTGCGCGTCGAGGGCCGGAGGGGGCGCCCCCTCCCTGGCGCTGGCAGCGGCGGCCCTCCCCTGGCGCCGGCGCGGCCCTCCCTGGGCCTCCCGACGAGTCACTGGCCATCCATCGCTCGGACGTCCATTCCCCGTGTTTTTTGTTCGGTCTCGTGCGTGGTTTTTTCGCCAGATGATCAAGGATGCTCCTCGATGGCCCTCGCCGAAGGAAAGATGCACGCGTCCGAGCGATGCCAAGGTCAGGGGGCGCAGTAGAGCTCGAGCGAGGGACGCGGGAACCTGCCCCCAGGTCTGGCATGTCCCCCTACGGGCGGATCTTGACGGAAAAATCAGGATTGGTCAACACATGCTCCATTAGTGAACAGAAATAATCGAAAAATCGTCCCCTGGCGACTTTCTGACTGCTTCTGAAAATACCTCCTGTAGAGGGACGCGCCCGACTTAAAAGTAGAGCTCGAACGAGGGACGCAGGAACCTACCCTTCGAGGCTCATTCTGGGGACCTTCCTGGAGCCACTCGCTCCACTCGTGCGTCGAAGCTGAGTCGAAGCTGACTAGAACATGAGTCGAACCTGAGTCGAACTTGAGTCAAACTGGAACCGAGCTAGAGTCGGACCAGAGGTCGACCAGATCTGCCGGGTGGACCCCGGAAGGTCCACAGGGGACGAGCATCTAACTGGCTCCATGCCGTCCCTGGGAAATCCCACAGACGAGAGATATCAGCTCTGCCATTTCCAGGGCCCGCCGAGCTCCTGGAAGCCTCTCATTGCCACGGCTGGGTCCAGCTGAAGAAACGGGTCGGGATGGATCCCAGGAGGGGCCCCAGGGCCGGCTCGAGCCGGATCTGGGACGGAAGAGGGGAGGCTGCCAGCTGCCTCGAAGCTGGCCCCCCTCCAGGATGAATGTCTTGTGCAGGTTAATTATGAAGGGGCTGTCCACGATGGAGAGGAGCTCGCGCTCCCAGCGGATCTGCCTCTCCGCGCCGCACTCCGACAGGTATCCTGGCACACGGGGGGGCCATCTGTGTATACACGCATCTATAATTATATATAATCATATATACATTATATATATATGTAGCTAGACGCCGGTACAACTACTCAACGATGTATGTATGTATATATACACGTGTTTCGATACTTATAGACATGTAAGTACCTTGATCCCGATACGCACATATACATACATACATACATACACATCGATAAAAGTAGAACGACTTGCAGACCACTAATGCGTATGTCGATGTATATAGACACGTATATACTTCACAAGCATAAATATCGATGTATATGTATATACATGTGTTTGCATACGTAAATGTGCTCATATAACGCCAGCGCCAAGCAAGGGCCTTCCTCGGCTATTGCACGGTGCATGCTCCCTCCTGCCCGATGCCCCGAGTCGGTCAAGTCGGCAGCACATCCAGGGGGGGAACGCAGATGGGGCGGGGCCTTCTCAGAAAGACCAGATGAGCGACGATCAGAAACGGGTTTAACAGTGGAGGCCAGTCCACAAGAACGCTTCCACAAGAAGCCCAACCCTGAGACCCCAGGACGTCGACAGATGTGTGGCGTGGGCACGTCACGCTTGCCATAGCAAAACCATAGAAAACAAAGAACACCAGGACACCCTGGAGGCAAGCAGGGTGTTTCTTGGCATGGGTCTCCTGTGTACACGAGATGACACAGCGACCTTACGCGGTTCCTTACGCGGGCCGCTAGCGCGGCACGCTGAATGTGAGACGAGCGCGCGTACTCCCGACCGTACGCGTGAAGCTTACGTGCCAGCATCGGCGCAGACGACCCCGTGTTCTGCCGTCGCTCAAACACCTATGGCCGAAACAACATGTCCTGCCTTCTCTTGGAGAACAAATACTGTCATACACATAAACTCTTTGACATCCGCGCAACTTGTTCGGAATGGGCGCTGAACCCCCTCCCTGGCGCGCGGAGCGAACCAGGGGCGGCGCCAGAGGCGCCGCCAGAGGGCACCAGCGCCGATTCGAGAAATCAGCGCGGACCTCCGAATTGGTATGTTTCCCTGGTATCCGTGACAAGACGATCGACCGAAGCCGCAAAACCCTAAGACAGATCGGGACATCGCGTTGTCCTGAAGACAAAACGCGCGAATGCCATCGTTGCTTCCCCGACTCTCCGAGGTCAGAGAGAGCTTCTCAGAGGCCTTCTGAGAAGCCCAGCCGCCTTCCCAGAAGGCCTGCCCCATCTCGCTTCCCCCCTCCCACGGCGCGTCGCTGATTCAGTGGGTGCATGGCGACTTGTCTGGCGAATTGGCTGGACGGTAACTTTGGGGCAAAGTCTGCTCCAGGGCTACTGCCCAGCAGCTACGCTTGGAGTATATCGTGTATCTCTAAACCTTGCCCGGCCCAACGTAGGGATACGCGGTGTACGATGGAGGGAGCGCCCACCCTCGATTGGGGTGCGTCCGCATGGCCTCCCGCCCCTGGCGCTGCACCCCCGAGCTCCCCTTCTTTTCACAGTGGCCACTCTTTGGATAGGGTGAACTCGGGCATCTGGGTGAGAGAATTCGGCCGCGATCCTACGGCTCAGGATGGCACTGGTTGCATAGGCATGGTGGCGGCTGGGGGGGGGACAGAACGGCACTGGTACCGCTGCTCCTCGGACCTTTCCCGGGGTGTTCTGACCAGAATTTCGAAGCGAATCCAGCCGTGTCGACGAGGGGGGCCTCCCAGGGGGCCCAGAAGGTTAAACAGGAGAAAGGATAAACATTATCGATACCTCCTCCGTGTCCACGTAGGTGGTGTTTCTGTGCCTCCCGCGGATCCTTTAGACATCGTCTTGAGCGCGTATCGCTTCTTGCTGCTCACGTCCTCCACCAAAGCGACCTTGCAGAACCCGCCCCGGCCGAGGCAACACCTCTTCCGCAAATTCTCGAACTGCACCGTCTGCCCCCGCTTCTTGACCCCGATGGCCTCCGTGTGGTGATTGTTCCAGCCCTCTGCCAGGCGCTGGCACCACTCCTGGAAGCTGGACGAAACAGCATAATTACGCAGAAGAAAACGCCCTCCGAAAGTCCGCGCGGAGCTCCTCGTTTTCCGCGCTGGACCTCCCTGCCGGAGGCGCCGCCAAGGGGGGTCCAGCGCCGACCCAGGAATTCCGAGAGGAGCTCCGTGAGAGCACGTTTCGCCAGCCTGCTCCGTCGGAGGAACCCCCCTTACGCCTATCCCCCCTATGCCGATCCCCCCCTATCGCTGCCCCTCAGGGGGAGGAGGGAGAGGGGAGGGGGATGGGGGAGGGGGAGGAGGAGGAGGAGGAGGAGGAGGAGGAGGAGGAGGAGGAGGAGGAGGAGGAGGAGGAGGAGGAGGAGGAGGTAAGGAACGAGGAGGTAGAAGGAATGAGGAGGAGGAAGAGAGGAGGAAGGAGGAGGAGGAAGGGGGAAGAGGAGGAGGAGGAGGGAGGAGGGGGATGAGGAGAGAGGAGGGAGGGGGAGAGAGGAAGGAGGAGAGGAGGAGGAGGAGGAGGAGGGGGAAGGTGGAAGATGAGGAGGAGGAGGAGGGAGGAGGAGGGGATATGAGGGAGGACGAAGGGGGAAGGAGGAGTAGGAGGGAGGAGGAGGAGAGGAGGAGGAAGGAGGAGTGAGGAGGGAGGAGGATTAGGGGAGGAGGGAGGAGGAGGGTGGGCGCTCTTCTTGCCCCGGCGAGCCTCTCCACTCCCCCCGTCTCATCTCCTGACTGGACGACTCGAGAGCTGCCCGCGGCCCGAGCCCTCTAACGTGAGCCACATGTTGCCCCCCCCCCCCCGCCCTCCTCACTCCTCTCCCTCCTCCCTCCTCTCCTTCTCCTCCTCCCTCTCCTCTGTCCTCCCCCTCCTCCTCCTCCTCCTCCTCCTCCTCTTCCTCCTCCTCACCTCCTCCTCCTCCTCATCCTCCTCCTCCTCCCCTCTCCTCTCCTCCTCCTCCTCCCTCCTCCCTCCCCTCTCCTCCTCCTCCTCCTCCTCCTTCCCTACTCCAACTTATGGTGGTGGTGGTGGTGGTGGTGGTGGTGGTGGTGGTGGTGGTGGTGGTGGTGGTGGTGGTGGTGGTAGTTAGTCGCAAGCCCAGACCCCCCGCTGTCGCACATGTGTGATCCCAACGTGGACCCCCGGAGGTTCAGGTACGGACGAGGACATACAGTCGGGGCGCTGACCTAAGGAACCCTAAATAAGGAACGAGGCCCCTTTTTCCGTAAGCTGAACTTCGACCTCCCATCGAAAACGTGAGGAGAACCTGGGGCAAGCTGTGAAACACTTCAGGAACACGGAGCCCCTCCCCAACGAAAAGGGTTCCTTCTTCAGGGCCCCGACGGTGTGTTAATCGCAAGACCAGACCCCCCGCTGTCGCACGTGTGTGTTGCCTTCTCCTCCCCCTCCTCCCTCCCTCCCTCCTCCTCCTCCTCCTCCTCTCCTCCTCCTCCTCCTTCTCCTCCTCCTCTTCCTCCTCCTGCTCCTCCCTCTCAACCTCCTCCTCCTCCTCCACCTCCTCCTCCTCCTCCTCCTCCTCCTCCTCCTCCTTCCCCACTCCAACTTATGGTGGTGGTGGTAGTTAATCGCAAGCCCAGACCCCCCGCTGTCGCACGTGTGTGTTCCCAACGTGGACCCCCGGAGGCTCAGGTACGGTCTGCGTGCCCCCTCCTCGGAGGCCTGCGCCCGACCCGCACGCGCCAGACAACCACTCCTTCACCTCTGGTTCTCCGCACGGCACTGCCAGTAAGCGCTCGCCATCGGGTTTCCCGCACGGCACTGCCAGTAAGCGCTCGCTGTAAGCTTTCGCGGCGCGCGCGTCACCCCCAAGCCTGCAGACACACACAGAAGATCAAGATGTTTGGGTGATGCCGGGTTGAGACCCCCTCCCCGGGACCGGCTTCATCCCGACTCGTTCGTTTGACGGTCCCAGGGCCCGGTAAGGACGGAAATTCCAGCCGCACACATCAAACCTGCCGAACTCCGCGCGGAAGCTCCCGGGCACACACTAGCATTCAGTCGGGCATGCCCCTCTATAGGAGAAATAGTCAAAGATAGTCAAAACAACAAATCGGGGGACGATGTTTCCAACATCTTTGACTATGTTCCCTACCTAGGCTCTGCCTAGAACTCGGTTTGCTCAAAAAGCCAGGCAGTGGTCCTCGCTCCGGGCGGTTCCCCCAGGATCCGCCCCGCGGTTCCCCCAGTGATGTTCCCTTAGCCTCGCGTTGCTTATGTATATTTCATCTTACCTTAGCTTAGCTTCATCGTACCTCAGTTGTATCTTAGCTTAGCTTATCTTCATCTTAGCTTCGCAGAGCTTTAGCATAGCAGAGCACAGCATAGCGTAGCATAGCGCAGCATCGCATATCATAGCATCGCCCAGCATAGCATAGCATAGCGCAGCATAGCATAGCATAGCATGGCATAGCGCAGCACAGCACACGACAGCACAGCACAGCACAGCACAGCACGGCGCAGCATAGCGTAGCATAGCATAGCGCAGCTCATCATAGCATAGCATAGTATAGCGCGGCTTAGCATAACATAGCATAGCCTAGCATAGCACAGCGCAGCATGACATGGCACAGCTTAGCATAGCATAGCATTGGATAGCGCAGCACAGCATATCATAGCATAGCACAGCATAGCGCAGCATAGCATGGCATATCATAGCATAGCAACTCATGCTGCTTCCCAGGGGCTCCAACTTCTAGGTAGGGTCGCACTGGGGTAATTTGAACGCGTTCTGGCTATTCTTCATTCTTCCTCCAAAACCCGCGTGTAGGTGGACACGCCCGACCCAACACTAGCACGGACCACGGGACCTGAATCTGCACCGTGGGCGCCAGGACTGCGGCTCGGGGAGCCCGCCCCCCGAACGATGCCGCCGGCGCCGCCCGACCAGGCGATCGGAGCGCATCGACGGAGCACATCCAGGAGTGCCGACGCCGATCCACGCGCCCTGTGATGGGCGTGTTTTCCACCACCGCCACCAGAAGTTGGAGCGGGGGGGGGCTCCTCCTCCTCCTCCTCCTCCTCCCTCCCTCCCTCCCTCCTCCCTCCCTCCCTCCCTCCCTCCCTCCCTCCTCCTCTCCTCCTCCTCCTCCTCCTCCTCCTCTCCTCCTCCTCCTCCTCCTCCTCCTCCTCCTCCTCCTCCTCCTCCGCCTCCTCCTCCTCCTCCTCCTCCTCCTCCCCCTCCCCTTCCCCCTCCCCCTCCTCCTCCTCCTCCTCCTCCTCCTCCTCCTCCTCCTCCTGCTCCTCCTCCTCCTCCTCCTCCTCCTCCTCCTCCTTCCCCCCTCCAACTTATGGTGGTGGTGGTGGAACACAGGCCCATCGGCTAAATCCATGCACAGCCACCGTGCTGCCGTGAGGAGCGCAGGGTAAGGAGCGAAGGGGGCGTGCCTGGCCACGGCGGGCCTGGGCCGCCAGCAGGCTGCACGACATACAGTCGGGGCGCTGACCTAAGGAACCCTCCCTCCTCCCCTCATCCTCCTCCTTCTCCTCCTCCTCCTCCTCCTCCTCTCATCCTGCTCCTCCCTCTCCTCCTCCTCCTCCTCCTCCTCCTCCTCCTCCTCCTCCTCCTCCTCCTCCTCCTCCTCCTCCTCCTCCTTCCCCACTCCAACTTATGGTTTTGGTGGTAGTTAATCGCAAGCCCAGACCCCCCGCTGTCGCACATGTGTTCTCAACGTGGACCCCCGGAGGTTCAGGTACGGACGAGGACATACAGTCGGGGCGCTGACCTAAGGAACCCTAAATAAGGAACGAGGCCCCGTTGTTCCATAAGCTGAACTTCGATTCCCCATCGAAAACATGAGCAAAAACTGGGGCAGGCTGTGAAACAATCAGGGAACGCGGAGCCCCTCCCCAACGAAAAGGGTTCCTTCTTCAGCGACCCGACTGTAGATCTCAGGAAGGCCCCCCGAAAACCAGAGACCTTCCTGTGGGAGGCCGAAAAGTACCGATGCCGCTGCTCCCCGGACCTCTCCCGTGATGCGTTCGAAAGTTCAGACCAGGACTTCGATGCTGAGCCAGGAGGGGTGCTCGCCGGCGGAGGGGGGAGGCAGGTAGGAGGGAGGAGGAGGAGGAGGAGGAGGAGGAGGAGGAGGAGGAGGAGGAGGAGCAGAGCAGGAGGAAAGGAGGAGGAGGAGGAGAAGGAGGAGGGAGGAGGGAGGAGGAGGAGGAGGAGGAGGAGGAGGAGGAGAAGGAGGAGGAGGGGAAGGAGGAGGAGGAGGAGGAGCAGGCGACGAGGGCCTCCCAGGAGGCCCCACGGGGGGGACGGCGGCGGAAGGGCAGCGGTGCACTGGTACCGCTGCGTCCTCCGAGCCTGCGCCCAGAGCGATCCCTTTTTTGTTCGGGGAGACGTAAGACCCGGGTACGGGGGACTCGGAAATCCCCGACGAGGTCGTCAAACAAATGTCGGGTCAGGCGAAAGGGGGGGATAGCAAAGGGGGGGTTTGAGAATCAGCTCACGTAGCTGATTTTCGCGGCGCCTCCCAGCCCCGGAGGCGGCTGTATCGAGGAATGGGCCCCTCGGTGAGGCCGAAACCAGCTGCATGCAGCAAATTTCGTAACCCCCCCTTTCCCAATCCCCCCCTTTCGCCCGGCCCGAAAATGACGAGGCCGAGCCTGCATGTTGACGAGGCCTCCCGCTGCAGACATCCCACGAAACTCCTCCTCGTCAAAATCCGAGGCGCGGTCGTCAAAGAACGATGGCGAACCCGAGTCCTGGCAAACCCGGGTCTTACGCTCCCCCGATTTTTCAGCGTCTCGACTCAAGACTGTCCAGGGCAATTTTTGATACATAGGACTCTCAATCACACAGGATTTTTTATACCTGACAAATTTAAGAATAAGTCTATGGCATGAACTCATCGTTGCTTTTTTACTGCTAAATCCCTGCATTTTTGGGATCGGATCCGCACGCGGAGCATGAATGAAAACCGGCACTGTAGGCGCTTCCTCGAACAAAAGCGGCCCCCATGGCATCTGCAGACGTCTGCAGACGTCCAGGCTTCGGGAGCCCCCGCGGGCTTCGCGGAGGCCTCCGCGCGCCTGTGCCGGCCTGCTCCCCCCCCCCACCGGGGGTCCTGGATCGGGCAGTCCGGGCTGGGCAGCTCTCCGCCTGGCGATCTGAAGACCTCAGTGCGGAATCCGTCGGGAGGCCCTCTCTCGGTAGGAGCTTGACGACTTCTGTTGCCCCTCAACTCGCGCTGGAGCACCCACGATCTGCCCACGCTGTCCCTGGATGTCTCCGGGTTTACCTCGATGCGCATGGGCCTAATTCTATGTAGATTGATTTCCACAAGTTCAAAACATGGCTTCATCCTCGCAAACCGATGATAACCAACTTTGGGGGGTCTTCGTAAGAACGCTTGCGGGCCATCAAGCCAGATGCAAGGGCCGTTAAACCCATCAGGCTCGATAAAGCAAAATTCTGATCAAAAGAAATTAGCCTGGGCTATGCCAGATGAGGCCAGTTCTCGGCCCCGGGTATGTCAACGAGAATACTAAACCTTGATCTCCCTTGAGCTGCATCCGAACAGACGGGCCAGATCCGACGCCACACGATGCTATACCCGAGGCTATACCCGAGACTCCCCGAGGCCCCTCGGAGGTCATCCGAGGCCGCTCCGAAGCCGTCCGAGGCCACGAGGCCACCTGCGAACGCCGGAGAGTGCGGCAAGAGTCGGGACAGGAGGTTCCCGCAGATTCCTTCAAAGGGGCGGCGACAAGGGGGGACTGGCTCAGGGGGGGAGCGTCGACCTGGAATTGGCCCGCAGGGTCCTGGACAGGGCTGGCTATCCGATCGGATGTCCATGCATCCCCCTCTGAGCCTCTCCCTCCCACCAACGATGCCCCTGATCTACGCCCAAAACCTTCTCCAGGATCTCGGCGACGACGACGTACTCGAACACGAGACAAGTCATTCCGCCCTCGCACGTGTCCACATTGGACTGGGAGAAAGTGTCGCCGCGCAACAACGATCGCTCGCCGAAATGGCTCCCTCTGCGCAGATCCGCCAGCCACACCTTCTCCTCTGCGAGGGGAGCCGAATCGGGGGCAACTGTTTCCTTGCCATCGCTCGGACGTCCATTCCCCGTGCATCGTTTTTGGTACGAGTGTTCGGCCGCTAGTCCTAACAGGCATGAGTTCCACCGAAAGTGCAAGTCAAGTGAAAATACAAAACTCACCAACAGTGAAAGAGCACGGCTTCCAAAGTATATCAAGCATGTAATTGCCGTTTTCGGGGCGTGGCCAGCGGGAATGCTGGCCTTGGTCTTCAAGGGGCCACAACACTTACCTGAGCAACGTTCTAAAGAAGGGGGTCGATTAGTGGACGCACGCCAATACCAACATCGTTTGGCTTCTTGGATGTGTGTCTCAAGGTGGTCCAAGACAGATGCTTCAAGATAGTTCAGACTTTCTAGAAGCACCTGTCTCAAGGGGGAGGCCCAGATCTCTGACAGTCTGCTTTTCCCCAAACAGCTGAGCAGATGGCCAATTCCACTCGGGGGACCCCCCCGACTGGACCTCCTCGAAACTATTCGGTGGTCTGAGTCGTTTCGCCCGAGACATCCTCACAACTCTTGTTTCCGAGTTGGCCGGGATTGGGCACTGCGCTTGAGACATCCTCGAAACTCTGACCTCCGAGATGCCGTTCGAGAGGCGGTCCGGCCTGACACCTACTCGAAATTCAGAGCTCCGAGATGCCGGGCGAGAGATGGCCTAGCGCGTTTTCCCTCAGACAATTTCGCAACTCCGAGCTCCGAGATGCCACGCAAGAGGTGGTCCAGCCCGTTTCGCGACGTCCTCACAACTCTGGGCTCCCAGGTGCCGCCCTTGAGATGGTCCAACCCATTTCGCCCGAAGCATTTTGGCAACTCTGGGCTCCGAGATGCCGTGAGAGAGGTGGTCCAGCCCGTTTCGCTAGAGAACTTTGGGCTCCGAAATGTCGCGCGCGAGGTCGTCCAGCCTGTTTCGCCTGAGACATCCTCGCATTTCTGGGCTCTGAACTGCCGCGCGCGGAGCGCGATGAGGAGGTAAATAATAAGGGGGAGGACGAGGACGAGGAGGGGAACGCGAGGAGGAGAAATAGCACCAGGGAAACGAGGGTGACTCGTATGAGGGGGGCGAGGGGAAACATAAGAAGGTGCAGGATGGGGAGGAGGAAGAGGATCAGGATGAGGAGGAGGAAGATGAGCAGGAGCTGCAGGAAGAGAGGAGGACGGGGAGGAGGGTGAGGTGTAGTGAAGGGGTGAGAGCGAAGGCGGGAAGGAGAATAATGCGGATGCGGGCACCTACGGAGGAGGACGACAACGAAACGAAAAGCTCGAGGACGACGCTGCAGGCGCAGGCCGATTAGGCGCATGAGGACGCACGGACACTCTTAGGAGTCACCTTGGCTCAAAAAGCGCTGCCTGGGGATATTGGACTCTGGCTACATGCCCAATCCCAACGTGCTTATCGATTTCGGCCCGCAAGGGCCGCTGTCGGGTCTGGGACAATCATACACACATCCGGGGTGGAGAACTGTCCCCGGGAAATGGTCGAGACCTCCTTTTTGTGTGAAGCCGCGGATGGGGAACATCACATCGCCGGGCGTTTGGGACCAATGGCCTGGACTCGACGATGCGTTGCGGATAGATCGGCGATGGGCCCCTGGATGGGAAGCCCCCGCGCTCCTGCGCGGGCTGGGGTGCCCAGGCCCCGACAGGCGAGGGATGGGCGACTGGGGGCCGTTTTTGGGCGGCGTGAGACACAGTAGTCTAGGCGACTGGGGCACGATGCCTCCCCGCTCAACCCAGTCCTGCCCCCCCTGTCGCCCCCCTCTGGTCCTGCGTGCCGTCGGGAGCCTCTTTGAGCATGTGCTGCTCCGCCCCTCCTCCACGCAGAAGCCACCCCGCAAACCACCGCCCGATCCCGGCCAGGGCAATGCTGCGGCGAGACCAGTGCGGCAATTCGCGGACGCCCTCCTGTATTCTTCCCGAAGAAAGTTTTTCGGAAGGTTTTCCCGAACTCCGGGGAAGGGAGGCGAACTCCCGAACTCCGAAAACCTTCAAAAACCGCCCAAACACCTTTCAAACGCTAGCAAAGTCGCCCAATAGATTCAACACATCTTCTTAACCTAATTCAGAAACTTCCCGAAACATCGTCCCAACACCTTCCACCCAACCTTCCTATAACCTTCCCAACACCGCTCAAACAACCGTCCAAAACACCTCCCAAACACTTACCAATAATTGTCAGCAATTTCCCACCATCACACCAAATAAAAAACAATCAGTGGATCGCTAGAAGATTAGTGGTGTGGATATTGGAAAGAGCGTGTTCTACCGCTGCTGGCGGAAAACCGGGGGGGGTCACTACCGGTTCGAACCCCTCCCCCCCCCCCCCTCCAGAAAACCGGGGGGGGGGTCACTACCGTTCAACCCCTCTCCCCCCCCCCCCCCCACCCCCCCCCCCCCCCCTGCCTCATCATGAAAGGGGGGGGGGGTCACTACCAGTTCCACCCCCCCTCCCCCCCCCTCACCCCCCCCCCCCCCCCCCATCTACCGTCCCCCAAAAAACCGGGGGGGGTTCACTAACCTGACTACCGGTTCACACCCCATCTCCGCCCCCCTCGAAGACCGAGTGGGGGTGCGGACAGTGGTGGGGACGGTGTTGGTGGGGACAGTGGTGAGGGGACAGCGGGACAGTGGTGGGGACAGTGAGACAGTGGGGCAGTGGTGGGGACGGTAGTGGTGGGTGGGGACAGTGGTGGGGACAATGGTGGGAACAGGGGGGACAGTGGACAGTGGTGGGGACGGTGGTGGTGGGGACAGTGGTGTGGGGACAGTGGGAATGAGGTGAAAACAGTGGGACAGTGGAGGGTACAATGGTGGTTGGGACAGTGGTGAAGGCGGTGGCGAGGACGGCGGTGGGACAATGGGACAGAGGTACAGTGGGGACAGTGGTGGGGACAGTGGGGACAGTGGTGGGAACAGTGGGACAGCTCAGTGGGACAGCGGAGGAGTCAGTGGGACAGTGGGGACAGTAGGGATAGTCGGGCAGTGGTTGGGGCCGTGGAGACAGTGGGGAGAGTGGAACCCTGGTGGGAACAGTTCTGGGGACAGCGGGAACAGTGCGACAGTGGTGGGGCCACTGGTGGGGACAGTAGGGGCGGTGGTGGAACCAGTGGGGACAGCGGTGGTGAGGACAGTGGTGCTGGGACCACCAGTGGGGGATGTGATGCGGACGGTGGTGGGGACCGGGAGTCGTTTGCTGGCGGTGAGTAGGGGGGGGGTGGGGGTGGGGGGTCGAACCGTAGTGAACCCCCCCCGATTTTCGAGATCCGGACGGGGGGGGGGGGGGGGGGGAGTGGTTTCGAACCGGTATTTACCCCCCCCGTTTTTTTTTTTTTCGAGCGGGAGGGGGGGGGGAGGGGGGGGGGAGTGTGGGGGGGGGTGGGGGGGGGGGGGGGGGGGGGGGGGGGGGGGGGGGGGGTGGGGGGGGGGGGGGGGGGGTGCAGTGGGGGTGGGGGGGGGGGGGGGGGGGGGGGGGGGGGGGGGGGGGGGGGGGGGGGGGGGGGGGGGGGGGGGGGAGGGGGTTTAGGGATGGGGGGTTTTGCCCGGAAACAGGGGGGGGGGGGGGGGGGGGGAAGGGTTCCAGCCGGGGGGGGTGGGGGGGGATTTTTTTTTTTTTTTCGGAGAGGGGGGGGGTGGGGGGGGCGACCTCCGGGTTCCGGAGGAAAAGGTTGGCAATTTTCCACAGTAAAGCGGCGGTGGATCACGCTCTCTCGGATATTGAGATCGATTGAGATTGATAAGACATGGGTAGAAAGGACGATGAACAGGTCGATCGTAAGAACGATGGTGAAACCATGTCAATGAGATCGGTAATGTCTAACAACGGTTTCAAAAATATTTGGGGGAGCCAGTTAAAATAATTATTTTCCCCCGCGCTGTAGTGCGCCAGTAGAAAAACAAAAGAAAAGCGGGGCAAACTGGATCGCTGGAGACGCCACCGCGACCGCCCTGGCGCCCTGCGCGCAGGGGCAGATTCCTGCGCACCCCCTTTTGGCGCCAGGCCACGCATGCCGCGCCCTGCGACCCCAGCGTGGATAGAGACTGCGTTCAGGGACCACTCCCTGCGCACCGCGCGCCCTGTCTGGGTTGCGAAGCGGCGCTGAATATGCGAATGCGGCATGCCGCTGATAGGTTTGATACAACGGGGGCAATGTTTAACTCCAAAACCCAAATGGCGAAAACCCAACGTAAAAATCCATTATCTGATCGGAAGACGGGAACATGCCAATGTGGATATTCGGTACTGAATGCAAACATGCCAAGCGCCCAGCGCGCGCGCGGCGGCATGCCGCTGATAGGTTATATGCAACGGAACGGAATTTCGCGCGCGCGGCGGCGGCATGCCGCTGATAAGTTTTATGCAACGGGGCGAAATTTGATCTCCAAAACCCACGGGCGAAAACCCAATGTAAAAAATCATGATCTGATCGGAAAACGGGAACATCACCATGTGAATATGCGACGCTGGATGCACAACTGCCAATCGCCAAGGGGCGCGCGCGCGGCGGCGGCATGCCGCTCATGGGTTGCACGCAGCGGGGGCAATGTTGCACTCCAAAACCCTAAAGTTAAAACCCCATGTAACAAATCATTATCTGTTCGGAAGACGGGGACATCCCCGTGCGGATATGCGATACCGAATGTACAAATGCCAATCCCCAACGCGCGCGCGCGCGCGCGCGCGCCGCGCTGCGCGCGCGCCGCGGCCGCGGCCGCGCGGCGGCATGCCGCTGATAGATTTCTACGCAACGGGCGCCATGTTTAAACCCAAGACCCAATGGCGGGTTCCCCATGTAAAAGTTCATTCCCTGATAGTAAGACGGGAACATCCCCATGTGGATATGCGGCACTGAACGCGCAAATGCCAATCGCCAACGCGCGCGCGGCGGCGGCATGCCGCTAATAGGTTTCTATGCAACGGGAAAATCTACAGTAAAAAAAGAAAAAGGATAATAAGGATAAGATAAAAATAATAAAAAACGAAAAACAAAGGAAAGTGTTAAATTATAGCCATGTTGAACTCCAAAACCCAATGGCGGCAACCCAATGTAAAAAATCCATTCTCTGATCGGAAGACGGGGACATCCCCGTGGGGGCATGCGACACTGAACGCGCAAATGCCAATCGCCAACGCGCGCGCGCGCGCGCGCGGTGGCATGCCCCTGATAAGTGTTGCACAATGGAAGTGAGGTTGAACTCAAAAATCCAACGGCGAAAACCCAAATGTAAAAATTCATTATCTGATCGGAAAACGGGAACATCCCCATGTGGATGTACTTCGCTGGGTGCACAAATGCCAGGCGCCAACACACACGTGCGGACACACGCAGACGCGCAGCGCGCGCGCGCGCGCGGAGGCGGCATGCCGCTAATAGATTATATGCAACAGGGCGAAATTTCGCGCGCGCGCGGCGGCGGCATGCCACTGATAGGTCTTATCCAACGGGGCGAAATTTGATCTCCAAAAGCAAATGGCGAAAACCCCGTGTAACAATTCATTCTCTGGTCGGAAGACGGCAACATTCCCATGTGGATACGCGACAATGAATGCGCAAATGCCAAACGTCAACAAGCGCGCACGGCGGCGGCTGATAGACTTGATGCAACGGGAACGATGTTCCACTCCAAAACCCAATCGCGAAAACCGAATGGCAAAAATCACTCTCTGATCGGAAGACGGGAACATGCCAATGTGGATATTCGACACTGAATGCAAACGTGCCAATCGCCAACGCGCGCGCGGCGGCGGCGCGCCGCTGATAGATTTGATACAATGAGGGGCGCTGCTGAACTTCAAAACCAAATGGCAAAACAAAAAAAAATCAATGCAAAAAAACATTCTCTGATCGGAAGACGGGAACATCCCCATGTGGATATGCGACACTGAATGCGCACGCGCCAATCGCCGACGCGCGCGCGGCGGCGGCATGCCGCTGATAGATTTCGATACATGAAGAGCCACGTTGAACTCCCAAACCCAATTGCGAAAACCCGATGTAAAAAATCATTATCTGGTCGGAAAATGGGGACATCAACGTGTGGATATCCGACACAGAATGCGCGCGTGCCAATCGCCACTGAACTGCCGAACGCGCGCGCGCGCGCGCGCGCGCGCGCAGCGGCGGCATGCCGCTAATAGGTTTCATGCAACGGGAGCGAGGCTGAACTCCAAAGTCCAATGGCGAAAGCCCAATGGAAAAATTCATTCTCTGATCGGAAGACGGGAACATCCACGTGTGGATATGCGACATTGAATGCGCAAGTGCCAATCGCCCACGCGCGCGCGCGCGCGCGTGCGCGACGGCGGCATACCGCTGATAGATATTATATATGCCACGGGGGCAATGTTGAATTCATAGACCCAATGGCGATAACCCAATGTAAAAATTCATTTTCTGATCGGAAGACGGGAACATCCCCATCGGCATTCTCCCGGTGCCGAGGTATATACAAGTGGCATTGATCGGCATCCATGGATTTTTTCTAGGGGGGCCATAAAACATCATATGCGGATTAATGGCAGTCGGGATCCGGGGGGGGGGAGGGGGGGGTCGCCATTTCTTTAACCGGGTTGAAACATTAATGCAATCGATCGTGACATCGCCCGTGCGATCTGTGATGAGATCGATCGTGCAATCGACAGAGGTGGGTACTGAGATCGATGGTGAGACCCATCCATCAGGAGATCGACCAAAACCCGGAAACCCGGAAACCCGGGAACCTCGCCGCCCACCGAAAGCGGCCCAGAACCAGCAACTGGAACAACAATCCTTCAAGATCCACTGGGACCCCTTCAGTGCAAGCACTGATTGGGAAA